TGCTGCTTGGCCTGCTGTGTTCATCCAGCTCTACACCTTGTTATTTCAGATTCTCCAGCATCAGCAGTTCCTACTATCTCTGGAACATTTCTAACAATCCAGGTCTGTAAATGCGGTCCAAGAATTCAAATTCCCCAGGACTTGACTTGATTCTGTTAGCATTCAATTCCTGGCCACCCGCCCCGCCCAACTCATGGCCAGACAATGCCTGCTCCCAGTTAAAATGTATTTTCTTGCCTCCTTTGCTACCTTATTGAAAACGAGTAAACCTGCTCATTTTTTGATGTTGGAGGGATGATGATGCTCACGTGCAAAGTGCTAGGCTATGGAAAAAGCATGAGCACTTTTTCACAATTATACATTCATGGTAAAGATTCCTATGTTGCCTTAATTTACGGTTGAACTCCTTACCTTTGTTATTGTAAACATCAAGGTAATTTGGTGCTGAAAAGATTGTGATAAGTGAAGGGAAGCCTGTAGTTTGGCTCTTCCTGTACATGCGATAGCTGAAAGGCAAATAAATTTAAGATTTTTATGCAATTACAGAATATTATTTACACATGATCCTTTATGCTTTCCCAGCTTGCTAGCTATTAAGTCATAAATTTATATGAAACAAGCAAGAACATACTAACAACAGCAAAGCTTTTATTTTAGAATTGTAATCTTAGTAGGTTTATATGATGTAGTCATTTAGGAGCATGTATTGTCACAATAAAACAAAGCACATCACTGAATCACAGATGTTGCAGGACTGAGGATTTAGCCTATCATGCCTATACAATTTCTCCAAATGAACAATACAACTTATTGCCATTTTCCTACCATTTCACCATACCCTTGCAATTTGTTTTTTGTTTAATCTAAATATTTATTCAATGCTCTCTTGAATGTCTTGATTGAATTTGCTTCCACTAGCTGTCAGTACATTTTAGACCTGAACTATTTGTTGTGCGCAAACATTATTTTTCACATCACATTTGATTCTTTTGCAAATCACTTTAAATCTGCAGCTTCCCATTTTTGATCCTTCTGAGAGTGGGAATGTTTTCTCCCTATCTACTTTAACTAGCCCCCCTCACAATTTTGAAAAATTCCATCAGATATTCTCTTAATCTTTCCTTCTCCAAGAAGGACAGTCCTAATTTTCTCAACATATCTTTATAACTTACATTTCTCATCTTTGGAACCATTCTTATAAACCTCTTCTGTACTCTTTCCAATGCTTTCATACCCTTTCTATACCATAAGGCCCAGAACTGTGCAATATATTCTAGCTGAGGTCCAGTAAAAATCTTATACAAGTTCAGCATTGCCTCCTTGCTCTTGCTCTTGTTCTTGTTCTTTAAGTTGCTATTAATAAAACTCAGGTACATTATTAACAGCTCTCTCCACCTGTCCTGTCACCTTTAATGATCTGTGCACAAACACACACAGGTCCTTTGGCTCCTGCACACCCTTTAGAATTGTATCCCTTTTTTAATATTGTCTGTCCATGCTTTCCTACAAAATCAAAATCACAGAATTATTATCGTGCAGAAAGAGGCCATTTGGCCCATTGTGCCTGCAGTGGTTCTATTACCCAGTGCCAATCTCCTGCTTTCTCCCCGCATCCCTATGCATGGTTTCAATCCAAATAATCATCCAATACCCTCATGAATGATCCAAGTTATTTTTTCACATCAGCCTTGTTTCGTTTGCACACCTCTATGACCTCTTATTCTTTTCTTCTTTTATGAGCGGGAACATATTGTCCCAAGCTGCTCTATCCAGCCCGCTCATGATTTTGTAAACCTTGATCAAATCTCTTCTCAGCCTTCTTCTCTCCAAGGTGAACAGTCACAACTTCGTCAATCAACCCTCATAACTGAAGTTTCCCATTCCTGGAACCATTCTTGTAAATCGCTTTTGCAGTCTCTCCAATATATTTACATTTTACAGCCGCAACTGTACACACTACTCCAGCTGAGTTTAACAGGTATCTTGTACAAGTTCAACATCACCTTCTTGCTCTTGTACTCTATGGTCCTATTAATAAAGCTAAGGACACTATGCTTTATTAACTGGTCTCTCCAACTGTCTTGCCATCTTCATTAGTCCCAGTGCCTTGTCAAATTGGCATAGCAACATTCTACCCAACATAGAATAGTAAGAACTGCCGATGCTGGAGTCAGAGATTACACAGTGCGGAGTTGAAGGAACACAGCAGACCAGGCAGCATCAGAGGAGCAGGAAAGTCGATGTTTCAGGTTGGGACACTTCCTGACCCGAAATATCAACGTTCCTGCTCCTCTGACGCTGCGTGGCCTGCTGTGTTCCTTCAGCTCTGCACGGTGTTAATTCTACCCAATGTGTCTTCAATACGAACTTTGAACCCTTCTAGTGACAAACATCCCTCCTCTGTCACCATGGCCTCAGTAGCATTTACCTCTTAGGTTAAAACACATGCAGAATATTAATCTAATGCCTCAGCCATATCACCTGCCTCTGTGTATAAATCACCTCTTTGGTCCCTTATTGGCACTACTCCCTCCTTTTACCACCCTTTACTATTTGCAGGCCTATTGAAGGCTTTGTGATTCTCCTTTCTGTTAGTTACCAGTCTTTTTCATAATTCCTCTTTGCTTCTCCGGTATTCTTTTCATCCCTACTCTGAACCTTTTGGATTCCTCTTGTTTCTCAGTTGTATTTTCCACCTGACACCAGTCATAAGCACACTTTTTCTTCTTTATCGTAATTTCCGTCTCCTTTGTCACCTAGAGCGCTCTGGATTTGTTTGTCCTACCTTTCCCTTTTGAGGAAACATGCCTAGAGAACTATCTCCTCTCTGAAGATGGCTCATTACTCAGTTACAACATTTTTTCACCAACTTTTCATTCCAATCAGAGATCCGTTCTTGCCCATTGAAGCCAGCTCTCTGCCAACGGATTTGACTTACTGTTGATTGGCCATTGCCATTCTCCACCATCATCCTAAACATTATGATACAAAGATCACTGCCTTCTAAATGGGATGTTTTGCCCACCTTATTGCTAAGAACCAGGTCAAACAGCACATACTTTCTTGTTGGACTTGATACATAGCACTGCAGGAAATTCTTCCGAACACAATCTAGAAATGCTTGTCCCTTGCTTTCCCTTATATAATGAGTATCTCAGTCTATACTTGGGTAATCAAAGCCCTCTATTATTACTACTTCATAATGTTGGTATCTCTCTGCAATTTTCCTGCAGATTTCTTCTTCCACATCCTTCTAGTTGGTGGGCCACTGACTATACTAAGCAAGGTAATTGCATACTTATTGTTTCTTCACTCTAGCCAAATCGATTCTATCCTTGAACTCTGTAGGAAGCCCTCTCTCTTCAGTGTTTCAATGTTCACTATTAGCAGAACTACTACTCCTTTCCTTCCTTCCTTTTTTTTATCTTTTCTGAATACCCTGTATTCCGGAATATTTAAGATCCAGGCCTGACTTTCTTTGAGATAGGTCTGTATTGCCAGAACATCATCCTTCTGTGTGCCAATCAGCTCCTTTAACTCCCAAATTTTACTTAGTATATCCTGTACATTCACAGACATACACAGTAACTCTGATGTAAACTTCATTACTTTCTCCATCACTCAGGATTCACCTATTACATTATTATTTGCCTCAGCAAGTATTCTGTGGACCTGGTATTCTTCTCTAATATTGTCTCCCAGTTCCCACATCCTGTCAAGTTAATTTCAAGCCCTCCCAAGAGTATTAGAAAAATGTCCTACAATGATTTCAGGGTCAGCTCTGTTCAGGTGCAATCCATTCAGCTTATACAGATGCCAACTTCCATGGAGCCTGTCCCAGTGTCCCAGGGATCTAAAGCCTTCCATCCTGCAGCGTCTTACCAACTCAGCATTCATCTGTCTGATCCTTCTATTTCTGTATGCATTTACATGTGGTACTCGGAGTAACCTGGAGATTACTATGTTTGAAGTTTAGTTTGCTAATTATCGACCCAGCTGCCTAAATTGCAGAACCACATTCCCCCTTCCTTCCTACATCATTGACACCCAAGTTATTGGGTATCCTTTTATTATGCTATATTAAAATGCAGAATAATTCATCTGGATTCCATATTCTGTTCTAATGCAAAGCTGTTGTGTGGAGAGATTACAGTTTCAATTTTACTTTCAGACTTATTTGTTATTGTTTTTGACCAAAGTAATGTGCACTAAGCAGTGACAAATGCAGTTTTTAATATTTGACTTGTTGCAAATTACTGTCACATTTGGAGTTTTTTTTTGAAAAAGCATAAAAAAGGCATGAAGTGCAAATTGGAAAGAAGGATAAGTTGACAGATTGTACCTTTTAGCAGCTTAATGTTCACTTTTAAGCACATAATCTTTTTGTGCAGACTGCAGTTTAATGCTGGGTCATTTTATACTGAATAGAATCAAAAACTACTGTCAGACAGTATATTTTTACAAGTTCATTTTACTCTACTTCAGCATGAAATATGTGGAGCTCAAAATTTGTGATTTGGAAAGATTATAAATAGAACTAATCCCATATAGAGGAACAAACACCATATTTGTGGGAATTCTAGCAGATTATGTCCAGAACAAGATATATTGATCACGGATGCATTAGCAGATTTTCTGCCTGCATACCTTGTACCAAGGTGGTGCATTGGGAGGGGAAATTGGGAGTGGGCATTTCTGTGTTACTGTAAATGCCATGTACTTGCACCAGGAGAAAAGAACATTGTCCAGGATCAAACATAGGAAGATCAGTAAAATAATTATACTGGGTATGGAGCTGTTTATAAACTTACCCTGCATCTTGTGCTTCATGAGCTCGAATAACCGATAATAAATTATTGTTCTGTAGGAATTCACAAACAGCAGGATAACTGAAAAAGAGAACGTGTATAATGTTATCAGTAGAAGTTACCTTAACCAATTTCATAACAGAGATTGGAGAAATGGGGACAGCATTAGAAACAGTATGATGTAATATACTGAGGTCTTCTGCCATGGAGCATATAAATGGACTTAAGATAATTTACCTTGGCAACTAAGTCCCTGTAAATGCAAATATCCGATTGAATATTGCAGCCTATACTTTTTGGTATGTTATAGCTTAGACTAGAATGTTGTGTTCCACTACTCATGCTAGATTTGGAATTTTACAAGTGAGCACAAAAATTGGAAGTTTCCTGAATTTAACAAGGTTAAGGATAATTAAATGGAAGTCTTGAAATCGGAAAACAACAACTCTAAAAATCCTTTGAAACAATTAAAAATCATTTCAATTCATTTTGCATACACCTCACATCAATCTAAAATAAATTTGGTCCCTTGCCAGTCTAAGCTGTGACAAGTTGACACAAAACTTTCACAGAAGACAAATTCTTGCTGCATGACCAGCATGTCTCAAACAGAGACATAATCAACACATTGTGGAAGGAGATAAAAATAACTTGTTGCATGGGGGAAATAACTTTCACTGATCTTGTGACTACTGAGAGCAGCAGTTAGCCAAAAGTTACATGGTCTTCAAGTACTGCTGAATTTTACACATTATTAGAAAAATTATATGAGTCAATTTTGTTTGATAATAGTAGAGTGCAGCATAAATAAGCTAAATATGGTACCGTACATTCAAATCAGCCACAGTCACCAACGTATACCAAAATGAAGCATCAATTACTCATCTCTATCTAAAAGAGACTCGATCTTCATTCATAAATGTTGATCAAAATGTGATGGTATTGACACGTTTAGCTAAATCCTCAGTGTTTGGACAACTGAACCGTGATTGCATTACAGATAGAAATGTCTCAGGCCTAAGAGATCCTGCTATGAGAGCACATTGGAGAATAGGAACTTACTCTCAAGAAGGCTATTGAGTTATACAGAAGCTTGAACCATCAATCATCAGCTAAAGTGTATTAATACTATACAACACGGTTTTGTACTAGGTTGAGAGACATTCTATGCTGAGCAGAAATCACATATTGAAAGAAAGGAAGAAATATTTTCAGAAGAGTCAGCAGAAAGATGAAAACTTGTGGGCAGGATGTAAATATTGTGGAGAACATCAGACAAAAGAAAAGGAAGCAGGTCCAATCTATGGAAAACAGAGCTTTAACTGCTTGCGTCATTTTGCTCACAAGTGTATAGTCAGAAAGAAACAAAACAAGCTTATAAAGATGACTGCTATACAGACTTCAGCTGCTGAGTCTGATAAATGATCATAAACCATACAAAAGGTTGGCCTTGTCAGGTCCAAAGGTAATAACTGGTTTGTGACTGTTAGAATGGTGACTGCAGAGGGGCAACATCAAAGAAAAATATTGCTGGATAGTCACCAGGGCTTTGTGCAACTTCATGAACTTTGCAGACCCATGTGAAGCGGCTCATGAGATGACCCAAAATGGAGTCTTTGAAAGGAAGGTTGAGGCTATTTGATGGAATGATACTTATTCCAAGAAGACAAATGAAGTTGACAGCCCAATACAACAGTGAGAACAAAGATCTGCAGTTTAAAGTGGGAGGCGCTAAGGAAAATTCACTCAAGACAGCTGAAGCAAGGCTAAAGCTTGGAGTGGTAAACACAAACACGCCAGAAGAGATTTGAAGGACTTTACAGGCCACTGAGCCATTAACTGCTGAACAGAAGCACGGAACAGTTATGACACAGAAGGAGGTCATTTAGCTCATTGTCGCTGCACTGGCTATTTAGATCAGGATTATTACCCAGTGCTTTCTCCCCATACCCATACACACTAGTTCAATCCAAATGATCATCCAATGCTTTCTTGAATGATTCAATTGAACCTGCTCTCATTAAGTTTCCAGGTTGTGCATTCCAAACGCTAACTACTTCCTGTGTGAGAAAAATGTTTTCTCACATCATCTTTGCTTCTTTTGCATATGACATTAAATCTATATTGTCTCAGCTGATGGATGAAAACAAATTTTGTCCCTTAAAAGGACTGCAATTTATAAAGTAATCAAAATTAGTGATATTTGCAACTATATGGATATGAAAAGTAAAGGTCATTGGAAGTACTGGTTCCAAGTTACCTACATGTTTTCCAGAATAATTAGTCACAGGATTAAATCTAAACATGGTAGTTGACTGCACTGGGGGGATAGTAAGTGTTTCCCTGATAAGTCCTGAGTAACTATCAACACATAGATGGTTAAGTTACAATGAAGCTGCTCACTATCAATGGCAATGAAGTTGTGTTATAATTAAACTTAGGACATTGACTCATATCTGAACACCCACCACACTTGTCTACAACTGGGCAGAAACAGAGACTTTAAGAATGAGCTGTATGTCCAAGTGCCTAGTTGCAATGTTGGCAACATCAAGAATATTAACAGGAGAGCGATGGATATGCCCACAGAGCAATGGAACTGCCACAACAATGGTAATGACAATAGTACACAGTAGCACCCCTCCCAAGCTCCCTGCCCCCCTCCTATCACATTATAGTATGGATTGGACTCTGATACACAAATAATTGACCCACCTTGTCTGGCTCTAAGCCCAGAATCAGAAAATGGACTTGTGTCGGTAAAGGTTGGTAAGCATTTATGTGATAATCTTCATAAAAATCTGATACCTGTTACTGTAAATGTCACTCACATAGGTTTGCCTGAGTGATGTTTGGTTCAGTTCTAAGCACTGTACACACCTTTGGTAGAACAAGTGACAACATGGTTGGTTTGGTTTACTGGTCACGGGTGGTCAATGGCTGCACCCCCAGTTCAGGGGAAGGGTTGACTGAAATATCATCTGGTGAATGATATTTAGTACAAAGACCTCATTCATAAATTTGATTGATTTGCCAAAGGTGAACTGAAAGGTTTAGACCTTAAGTTCTCAACTTAACAAAATCCTGGAAACATGGCAAGGGATTCAGGACAGACAGCTCAGTGAGAGCCAAGATCTAACATGGATAATTCAAAGTTTGGCCACTGTAATAGAAAGTCATGCCTGGACCATAAATAAACTAATTGATGTAAAGAAAAATCTCTCAAACAATTGGTCAGGAATGGGATCTTCTGCACCCATGGATCATGGATACTCAGGCAGATGAGGGAAAATATGAGACAAATTGATATGGATGAGATAACAAACACATACTTGTTTAAGCTATCACAGTACAGGGAGTATGGCCTGACTGTCTGCCAGCGCAGGGGTTTAAAATGTTGAGGGATGGGTCATACACAATAAAGTTAATAGACATTATTTTGGCAATGCTTGTTGTATCAGAGTTGACTTGAGACATTATATTCATTAGAAAATATATGAGACATCATATGTGCGGATTCATAAGACACTGTCATGTTCAGTAGTGATAAGATTATACAACCAGCAGCACTTTAGATAAATGTAGTGTAGAAACCTCTTTGGTAGTGTGTCCATATCAATATATGAGACAGAAGGAGGAATGTATGGGTTTAATGCAACAGCCAACTGTATGATAGAAACTATCTGGGTGCAGTGGAACCTGACTCACATTGCATATCTCAGTATAGGGAGATATTGCATTACCACGTCACAGAGGAGTACCAAAATAGTAACAATTAGTCCGACAAACAGCCAAGTCTTGTGTTCATAATCGGAGGTGCTGGTCAGCGTGGGAAAGGGGAAACTGGTGGAAATCACAGAAGAGAAACAGTTGAAACCTAACATAATATCTTAGCCAAGTCTCCTGTGTAATTTCACTGCTGAACACGTTTCAGGTATTCAGGATGGGGCCTAGTAGAAAGATAGAATGTATTACACCCTGCAACAACAAGTTAGGGTATCGGCAGATGAGGTCAGATAAATCCTACTTGATTTCAGGACCTGTGGAATTGGGGATCAAACGTACGGATACAGCTATGGCTTAGGATCAACTCCCTTGTTTTGGTATCACCAGTGGTATTGTTGTATACCTACCTACTTAGAGTACTAAAAAGAACACATAAGACAGGTCAGGAAGCCTGGGAGTTTTAGAATGTGGCACCAAAATGCATGAGCCAGGAATCTATATTGATGGACCACATAGAGTTGGTGTAACTAAGTATCTTTACAACTTTAAGCTCAATACCTGGCCAGTATTTATGGGTTATGGAGCATAACGAGAAAAGCACTGCCACTGAGTTGGCTACATTGGGTCAGACCAAAGGCCAAAGTGGGGAATTTAAGGTGTTGCATCAGTTTTAGTTTAGGCAAAATAATAAACAAAGCTGTTCCAGTGCATTTACAACACTGGTATCTACCCAGCAATGTCGAAAATTGCCCAAGTATGTCCTGCACACAAAAAGCAGGACAAATCTAACCCGGCCAATTACCGCCCCATCAATCTACTCTCAATCATCAGTGAATTGATGGAAGTTATTATCAACAGTGCTATATTAGCAACAAGCTGTTCAGTGACACCTAGCGTTGGTTCCACCAAGTTCACTCAGTTCCTGACCACATTACAGCCTTGGTTCAAACATTGACAAAATAATTGAGGTGAGATCAGAGAAACAGCCATTGTTATCAAGGCCATGTTCAACTGACTGTGGCATCAAGGAGCCCTAGCAAAACTGGAATCAATGGGTATCAGGGGCAAATGCTTCACTGTTTGGAGTCAGACCTGGCATGTAAGAAGATTGGTGTGCTTGTTAGAGGTCAGTCATCTCAACTTCAGGACATTGCTTTGGATAGGCCTAGGCCCAACCATATACAGCTGTTTTATCAATGACCTCCCCTCAAAAGGTCAGAAGTGGGGATGTTAGCTGATGATTGCACAATGTTCAGCACCATTTGCAACTTCTCAGATACTATAGCAGTCCACATTCAAATACAACAAGATCTGGACAATATCCACACTTGGGCTGACAAGTAAAAAGTAACATT